TATTTTAAAAATATAAAAATTCATTCTAATAATAATTATTGTGTATTGATTTATTAGTGGAATTTAATGATGATAAACAAAATTATAAGTGTTGGATTCAATGAGAGAGAATGTGATTTATTTAATGACTTAAATGTGAAACTTAATGAGAGGTAATTGAATATACTTAATGGTATTCTTTTAATTATATTTTCTACCCTTTCAATGGAGACAAACTAAATTCAAGGAGGGGTATTTCAGTAAAGAAAAATTTCAGAAGCCAATACCTCTTCATCCACACTTTTAGAAGTAGTATAGATTAAAAGTACCAATGAGGGTGTAGAACTTTACTAAACTACCCCTATTTTTGAATTTAGTCCCCCTTTAATTCTAAGAGTTAACAATGTAATATCACTTATAATTTTCACCTTATTTAATTTCCTCTCATTATGTCTTATATTTAGGGTATTAACTCACATTCTCTCACATTAAATCTTGTATTTGAGGTATTTTTATTTAATAATTCTAATAATTAGATCTTTATCAAATACAAAAATAATTTTTAACCATATGAAACCCATGTTTTTAAAGGGTATAATGCTAAAACGTCCCCTGAAGTTTCTAACCACTGCTAAAAACCTCCCCTGAAGTTTGGTAATTGCAATCACCTCTCTTGAACTTTAACATAGTTGCAAGTATAACCTTTCTCTTATAATCCTCTAACAAAAGGCATGAAAATGTCCAAAATAACCATGTAGTTACTTTGGCTAAAATGTTTATTTGGCTATTCGAGCTCGACTCACTTATAAACTATTAGGCTCGAGCTCGAGCTTGATTCGAATTAAAGACTTGAGCTCGAGCTCAGCTTGAGTCAAAAGCTCATAAGTTCAAGCTCGAATACCTTTGATTGCAAGTCTCCCTCAACAGCTAAAGTATCGAGCTAAGGTCTTCCTAGCAATCGAGGTCTCCCTCAGCTATTGAAGTGCCGAGCTAAGGTTTCCTTAGCAGCTGAGGTGCTGAGCTAAGGTCTCCCTTAGTTGCCGAGGTGCCGAGCTGAGGTCTCCCTCGGTTGTCAAGGTGTTGAGCCAAGGTCTCCCTTAGTGGCCGATGTGACACTACCCTATGTGCACATACTCGATTAGGCTCGTGAGCCTCATGAGCCGAGCTTTATTAAGCTCGAGCTCGAGTCGATTAGAAAACAAGCCTATATATTAGGCTCGAGTTTGGCTCGAAGCTCGGCTTAGACTAAGCCAAGTCGAGGTCGAACAACTCGTGAGTAGCTCGGCTCGTGGCCATCCCTACCCCAAACCCTTCCAATCCCTCAAAGGTAAAGTTGCAATTTTAAACTTTTTTTTTTGTTTAAAGTTTGTATTGTGTGTTATGAAAAAAGTAGCCTCAATAATAACTACATGGGTATTTTGGACATTTGTGTGCCTCTTGTTAAAGGATTCTAAGAAAGGGGGGTCTACTTGCAACAGTATTAGAAAAATCAAGGGAGGCGATTGCAATCACCAAACTTCAGGGGGAGATTTTAGCAACGGTTAGAAACTTCATGGGAGGTGTCAGTAATTTACCTTTTTTCAAATTAACAAAAAAAAAAAAGAAATCATTCTTCCATCTGAGTGGTGAGTAAGCCAATTCAACCATTTGGGCCAATTGGGTGAACCCATGATGTCATGGTTAAATAAAAGATGTAGAAAAAATGGGTCATTTCTCTAATATTTTATATTAATCATATTAAAGAAAAAAGTGTCATAAACAAAAATTGTTTTCATTGATAACGCAAATGAAATACAAATTTTAAAACCAACAAAAAAAATGAAATTGATTTCCTATTTGGTCCAAGTCAACAGTTCAACTTTTAGGTCAAATGTGTCAATATTTGATGTCATAATTAAATAATAAAAATGAAAAAATAAAAAAAAAACATAAATTTTGCAAAAAGATAAAACATTTGGGTGTATCTATAATATTGTATATTCATCATATTAAACAAAAACAAGTGTCATAAATAAGAATTATTTTTATACACATGTAAATATAGAAATGTAAAAAATATAATTTGAATTTATCCCTTTTTAATTGTGATGGTAAAAATGTAATTTGAACTATTATTTTTCACCTCATTCAAATCCCTCTCATTAAGCCATATATTTGAGGTACTAACATCCATTCTCTCTCATTAAATGATATATTTAAGATATTTTCTCACCAATAAATTATGTTATTAGATCTATATCCAATACTTTTAACAATATAAATCACAATTTTTTTTTTCAAAATGGAACAAAAAAATGAAATTATCCTTTTGTCTAGGTGGTGGATAAGGTAAACCATCTAGGTCAAATGGGTCAATCCATGATGTCATAATTAAATAATAAAAATGTAGAAAAATAAGAATACAAAAAATACAAAATATTTGTAGAAAACATTTGGGACATCTATAATATAGAATTATCTTATACACATAGAAATATATATAAAATTTAAAATAATTTGGATGTATATTACTGTCTTCATCATCTAAAATTACCACATGCAAAGCACGTACAAATTTACTAATAATGGAAGGGGAAGGGAAAAGAGCATCACTCAAAAGTGAGGTTAGAATTGGGAGAAATGTTTTAATCCATAAAGTGTCTTTCCAAAGATGGTAATGTTTTTATTATACCCTCTATTTATAGGCAAAAAAGGGAGGTCGGTTTCATATGTGTGTTTGCGGAGGATTTAAAAAATCCCGCTCATTCGTTATCAGTGCATATCTTGAGGCCGATAAGATGGTGATGCGCATCAGATTGCTATTCACGGAACGGATTCGTTCCATTCCTTGCTCCCAAACCCTAGTATGCGTCGATTGTTGATAGTTGACACAATTATCTTTTCCTATGTTTTCATTGTTTGCATGACATGATCCGCGATATACTTTTTTAGTAAATCCCCCCTTTGTTTTATCTCAGTTGTCTTGATTATATGGTTTAATTACTTATATCGCTTTTTGTTATTTATCTTATTTTAGTCATCAGTCGGTGGTATTTAAGTAAATCCCCTTACAATTTCAAATGACTATCTTATTCTTCCCCAACAAAAGTCATTAGGGATATCAATGCTCTAACTGTTCAAGAAGACAAGAATCTATGAATGATAGTGGCAGAAGACAAGAACCAATGAATGATTGTGGTAGGTAAACTTTGATAGTAGGGGTGTAAACGGATCGAATTCGAATCAAATCAGGCAATATTTGAATTCAAATTTGATTAAAAAATCCGATATTTGAATTTGATACGATATCTCGACAGATATTGAAAATTAATATCTGAATTCGAATCTGATTAAATATTCGAATATTCGCTTTGATTCGATTAATTAATTATTTTAGATAATTATTAAATATATAAAATAAATATTTTATTGATATAAAATATATAAATATATAAATTATTTATATAACTTAATTATTATATAAATTATATAAAATATTTTATGTATATAAAAATTAAATAAGTGGTCAAATTCAGATATTTATCAAATTGAATCAGGTCATCCGAATTCGAATCCGATTAACTATTCGGTAAGAATAGGATATCTGAATTCAACTTATTAGATATTCAAATTATCCGAATTCAATTCGATTATATCAAATATTGAATTCAAAATCGGATTTTTGAATACCGTTTACACCTCTACTTGATAGTTAATACTAGTGTTTTCTTTTCCATTTTGTTCTTCTTGAATCATTTATGTATTTTATCATGTGTGCTTCATTAGTTTTCATGAATGATTGAGTTTGTATGAATGATTGGATTGTTGTATTAGGTAGCCCTTGAATTAAAATTTTTTAGATTTGAAAAACTTTCGATTCTTCTAACTCAAGTTTCTTGCTTAGTTTGATGGGTTTTATCGGGCCAAACCCGTTATGCCAATTAACAGTCGATTAAGTTATGGGGTTTGAAATTATAGACCTTATAAGATATGGTTTGGGATCAAGGTAGGGGTTTTTTCTTGTTAGGATGGTTTTACTCCGTTTGAAACCAGCCTTATATTAACTTATATGTTTATCAGTGTTTTCAACTCGTTGTTAACCCGACTGGTCAAACTGTCACCAGGCCAAGATTCTGGGTCTAGTTCAATTAAGACCCGTCAAATGGTAAAAATTTATTAACTTGGTCAATAATCATTCGATTCGGACGGTTCGACCGTTGACCCATTCGACCTGGTTATTGGGTCGTGGGTTGTACACTCAATGCATGCAAATTTTTGGAGGCCATAATTTTACACTCTGATGTTTGATTGGGGTGATTTTTTTTTTTTTTATTTTAGATAACTTTTCAAGATCTATGCATCCCATAGGTGCCTTGCCCTACTATTTTTGTGAAAAAGCCCCCTTTTTTGACCTCAAATTATAATTTTTAATATTTGTTATAAATAAAAAAATAAAAAACTAAACTTAAAAACATAAATTAAATATAAAAATACATATAACATATTTAAGACATATTTATGCATTATTTATTATAAAATATATGTTTATACACACACTTTAAATACACATAGGACTGTATAACCCATTTGACTTAGACAGTTCGAACCAATTACCCATAACCCGAAGACAAAAACAGTTCAGCCTCTGATCGATTTTTAAAACATTGATCTTTACCTATTACTTATACTAGTGTATTATAGTTATAAATTTGAAGGAAAATTATATAGGGCCACAATCATTCAATTTCTAAGTATGAGTTCCAAACATTTTGACTGGCGTGGGGGCGTTAAGGTCATGGGATTTGGAAAGGACCCCTCCTTGTCTAATCCCGTAAACCCGGGTGAGGGCGCCTTGAACAGGGGGGGGGGGGTGATGAATTTATGTTAAAGTAGTCAAATTGCATGTATACTAACAGAGAAAAAGTAATCAAATTAAATATGCTTTGTCGTTTAAAAGAGGGGAACTTCTTTTTGTCAACACATCGTTATTTATCTAATGGAAAATTTTCGAAAGTTTTTGAATCCCAGGCGAAGCTTTAATTATTATTATTATTTTTTTCCATAAAAAAATGAAAATTTCGAAAGTTTTTGAATCCCATGATTCCCATCGGCCCAGCATCGACATGGTGTCTCCTCTATATATCTCTCAGCTTTGGTTTTCAAATACATTTCTCCCTCTCTCCTCTTTGTACTCTTTTACTTCCGTTCCGTCTCCTATCTGCTCCGGTCTTACTTCCAGAGCTGTAGTTCTCAGTTCCTCGTTCTTCCATTCCTGCTCACAGTAGAAAAACCCTAATTTTAAACTGAACCAAGGACTATGACTGCGGTCCTTCCCACCTCGGCGGGAAGAGAGCTATCCAACCCTCCCTCCGATGGCATTTCCAACCTTCGCTTCTCCAATCACAGCGATAATCTTCTCGTTTCGTCATGGGACAGGGTACTTGTTCTTCTCTCCGAAAAGGAAGATGTGCTAATTTTTGTGATACTGGTTTTTTCTCCTCACTTTATTTGTCTTAATATGATTATGTATTCGCTTGGTTAGACTGTTCGATTATACGAAGCGAGCGCAAATGTGTTGAGGGGCGAGTTTATGCATGCCGGTGCAGTGCTGGATTGCTGTTTTCATGATGATTCATCGGGTTTTAGCGCCTGTGTAGATAACACCGTCAGGAGGTGGGTGAAAATTTCTCAGCGTATATATTTATCTGTAAGTAGCGTTTATTAGTTTTCTTTATCTATTGTGTTTTCGATATAGCACGTTCGATGTTGTAAGATGGTCTAGGGTCAGCCGGCTCAGTTTTGATGAAAAATTTCATTCGGGTTTTAGTTAGAATTGGAACTTTCTACCATGAAATTTGAGGATTTTGCATTTCTCAATGGATTTTAAAACATTTCATCTTATTTACGTCGGCAAGCAGGTTCAGTCTCATTGTAGGTCAACACAGGATTTGATCTCATGTTCTGGAATAATACCAACTTATCTAGTCTGCGTCTACGTCTAGAGTAACTTTTATTTTCCTTTAACACTACATGCTAAGTCTCGGCACGCGTTCTGCAGAGTGCCCATCCTTGCCGTGCATCTTCTTGAGATTTCTATAGTGAGAAATTAATTTGTACTATATGATTATTTCACCTGTTCTCAAATTTCTATAGTAATAAATTAGTTTATACGTTATCAGTCGAAAAAAAAAAATAGTTTAGAGACGTTCAGTTGTTTCAAGGTCCAAAGGTGGAGGATCATATTTACTACAGGCAGTTAACTTAGATGCGTTTCTGCAAGGCAATCATGTAATGTTTGATTTTATACAATTGTCAGGAGTGAATGACATCTGTTATAACTAATGGTTCTCAACTCCTTAGCCAAAGAATCTGCTTATTCTCTTTCATTTCAAAAAAACTGATTTTCTGAACTTGGAGATTACCAACTAGGATGACATAGCCAGAAAATTTGTGGACCACTTCAAATCGATCTATAGAAGACCTTTGAGTGAGAGAGCAGTCATGGGAGGGGTGGAATAGCCAAGAATTGAGGGCGGAATGGCAAGGTGGTTGGAAAGGAATTTTGAGGAAGAAGAGATTAAGAAAGCTACCTTTCTAATGGATAGATCCAAGGTTCCAGGTCCAGATGGCTTTACAATGGGTTTTTATCAAGATTACTGGAAGGTGCTGAAAGAGGATTTAGTTGAAGTCTTTAAGGAATTTGCAGACAATCATGTAATAAGCCCTGGAATCAATGCCACTTTTTTTGGCCTTGATACCTAAGAAGATTGATGCCAACCACCCAAAAGATTTTAGGCCTATTAGTTTGGTGATAAGCATCCATAAAATTCTGGTTAAAGTGCTTTCTTTGAGGATCAAAACAGTTCTTCCTTTTATCCTTAGTGAAACTCAGGGGGCCTTCATTCAAGGGCGACAAATAATAGATCAGATCCTAATTGCGGATGAGTGTGTGGAGGAAATGAAGAGGTCTAGGCAAAGAGGTTTTATTTGTAAATTGGATCTTGAAAAGGCCTATGACTTGGTGAATTGGGAGTTTTTATTAGAGATGATGAGAAACTGTGGATTTGGGGACAAGTGGTGTAGTTGGATATCTGGGTGTATCAGTACCTGTCACTATATTCTGGTAAATGGTGTGGTGAGGTACTTTTTTCCAGCTTGCAGGGGTGTCAAGCAAGGGGATCCACTCTCACCCTTCCTTTTTACCTTAGTAGCCGATGTGATTAGAAGGATCATTACTAAGGCTGATAGTGAAGATGCCATTAGGGGTTGGAGAATAGGGAGACACCAAATCCCAGTCACCCACCTTAAGTTTGCAGATGACCTAATGATCTTTTGTGAAGGAGGCTTTAGCGAGAAGGTAACAAACCTAAAGGAACTAATCAAAGGATTTATAATCTGAAAATAAATTTGGAAAAGAGTTGCATAGCGGGTATAAACTTGGAGGGTGGGGAGATCGAGGTTATTGTGGATGAGTGTAACATCTCTGCTTGGCCTATGTCATACTTAGGACTTCCATTAGGGGCAAACCCTAGGGAGAGAAGATTTTGGACCCCAATGCTAGAAAAGTTTGAGAAGAGATTAGCCTCGTGGAAGAAGATTTATATCTCTTTTGGAGGGAGAATTACCTTAATAAGAGCTACTCTTATCTACTTACTTTTTGTCTGTCTTTAGGATACCAGCTAGGGAGGGTAGGAAGTTGGAGAAGTTGATGAGAGACTTCCTGTGGGAGTTGGGACAAGAAAAAAAAGGATCATTTGGTTAATTGGGAAATTGTTTACAGAAGTAAAGAAGAGGGGGGTTTGGGACTTGAGAGGGTGATTGAAAAAAATCAAGCTTTGTTAGGGAAATGGTTGTGGTGATGGCCATTGGAAAGTGAGAGGCTATGGCATGAGGTGGTGGGAAGCATTCATGGGAGTTCAAAGAATGGATGGGATGCTATTGTATCAAGGCAGGCTAACCTGGCAGTACCTTGGAAGGCCATTCACAACACCCTTTTTCAATTTCTCAATTTTATCAGGTATGAAGTTTGTTCTAGCAACGCTGTTCGCTTTTGGGAGGATATCTAGGTAGGAGACACCCCTTTAAAGGACCTTTTCCCTTTGCTATTTTCTGTTTCTTTGTATAAAAAGAGGTAGTCTCAAAATTTGTCTCACCATTGGGAACACCCTTGGCTCCTAATTGTGATTTTGGGTTTCGTAGGGGACTTAGGGATGATGAAATTGAATCTCTCTCTGACTTGCTATGTTGCCTTGATCAGGTTTGCTTGGATTCCTCCAAGCCAGATAAAAGGGTGTGGACTCCTAGACCCAAAGGAACCTTTACTTGTGCTTCTTACTTCAAGTCCATCTCTTAGCATTCTGCTCAACAACCCTTTTCGTCAAAGGAAATTTGGTGTCGGCCAGTTCCCCCAAAGATTATGGCGTTTTGTTGGGAAGTATTCTATGGGAAAGTAAACACTCTAGATAACCTACAAAAGAGAAGACCTTTCCTCTGTATTCTCCCAATTGGTGTATCCTCTATAGAGCTCACGGGGAGGATTGTTACCATCTACTAATATCTTGTCCTTTTTCTACAGACCTTTGGGCTTGGATAGTTTCATTGTTTGGGAGTAGTTGGAGTCTACCAGCCGAAGTTCGCATGATCTTTAACCATTCTACTTTCTCTTGGCCTAGAAAAAGAGGGAGACTTATGTGGAGATGTGCTCGCGCTGCCCTGATTTGTACTCTTCGGGAGGAAAGTAATGCTAGAATCTTTCAAGAAAAGGAAAGGAGCAGTCAGGAATTGAGAGACTGTGTGTTGCATAGGGCAATAGCGAGGTGTTCACCCTTGAAGGACAAGTCAATTACAAGCTGGTCTCCTCCATCTAAAGGCTCACTGAAGCTGAACTTTGATGGAAGTAGCATGGGTAATCCAGGGTTATCTGGAATGGGGGGTGTCTTGCGAAATGAGAAGGGAGAGATTTTGTTGCTCTAATCGGGTCCTTTAGGAGTTGGGGACTTTATCAGGGCAGAGCTATTAGCTGCTGTACAAGGGGTGCAATTCGCAAACTAGTTGGGAGTACAACATCTAATAATTGAAGGGGATTCCAAAGTGGTGGTGGGCTGGTTGAAAAATCCTGAAGATGCTATATGGCGCTACAAGAATGAATGAAGAAATTCAATTGGTTGACAAGGAATATGTTGGTCTCTTTACAGTGGGTGGGGAGATCAGCAAATACTTTGTCCGGTGTGTTAGCCAATCAAGGGATAAATAGGGAAGAATTGTTTTGGGCTCAGCTGTGATTCCTGTATTTCTTTCCTAGTTTACTTGCAACATTCAAGGAGGGGCTGCAGCTCGCACCTCTCATTAATGTTGTATGAATTCACAACTCTAAATCAGCTTTTGAATTAATAAAATTTACTATTGTTCATAAAAAAACTTCATGTTCTTGAAACAAAAATAATATGTTGGGTGTGTTCCAAATTAAATGGTAGACCTGATCAGGTTGAAAAATAAGTTTATGAATAGTAATTCAATTATTCCTCCACTGAATTTCATAGATTGCAGCTAGAATGAGTAATACATGCATTTTGACAGATTATCAAAATCCCACTTCATAAATTCAGTTTAATTCTACTTTATTCTGAGATGCTCTTGTCCAAATTATCAAAATCCCACCTCCAAAAAACTTTTGACAGATTTATATCATTTTTATGTTACATCATTCCGTCTCATTTTGGCAAGTCCTATATGCATTTTGAAGAAGGGCTCTTGTGACCATGCATTTGTGATTGCACATTTGTTCTTATGATACAGAATTTTTGCAACTGAATTTAGGCACTTTTACATGTTCTTTAGCTTAATAGATAATTTGGTTTGCATGGGTAAATGCCAATCTCTTGTGAAAACTAAGATTAAACTAGTGAATTAGGAAACCATTTTACACTTTCTGGGGCATTCCAATGAGCTTGGTGGGTGTTGCATTTCTTAGGTGTTGTGAGTAGTGAATAAAAACAGCTGACTTTTAGTAGTTCATAAATCTTCTTTATTATTCTGTACTATCTGTATTTATTGCTTTTTTCTTTTTATTTTTCTTTATCAGTCCCTCCCTTCCAGTGGCCACACTGTTTTTCCTACAAAAGGAGGATGTATTACTGCTTATATTCGTTTTCTCTATGTAATTTTTTCTTCAATTTGCAGAAGCTGATAGTTGATTCTATTTTATTTGTCTTAATTGGTAATGTTCTTAACTAGTCAGGGACTCAGGGTTTTATGCCAAATGTAGTATTTGATATCACAAGTTTGATTTCAGGTTGGTATTCAGCACAGGCAAGGAGGATATTTTGGGGAGGCATGATGCACCTGTTCGTTGTGTTGAGTACTCTTACGCAGCAGGTTTCTACTTATTTCTATGTATTTTACTTGAAAAAAAGGATTATGCTATTTTGCAGTGGCATCTACAAATATAAGAATATATTATTGCTAGAAACTGCATATTATAATTTAGGCTTCATACTTGGATCAGAGGATCTGAGTCATCAGCCCCAAATCCAGTTCAACATTGAAATGAATCAAATATAAATTTTGCATTTGTATTTTTATGGTGTGCAATTGCTTATCAGTCAAAAAGTTGCAAAAATTGTTCAAAGATTTATTCGGTGAAAATATAACTGCAACACACACACACACTGTTGTTTTTTGGTTTAAAATATGATATGGGCGGGGACCTGAATCTCAAGATCCAAGAACCCAATTCACAAACCTCTAGTAGTTTCAAAGCTAGTCATGATGTCCCATAACAGTTAGTGTACTGTGGGGTTTTGAGGTTTGATGGTAACTTTTTTGGATAACATGGAACCTTCTAGGATCAGAGTTTTCTCCCTCTTGTTTTCCTGATAGAGTTGGGATCATCACTTGGGCTTTTAGTGGTCCAATCAAGAAGGTGGTTTATCGAGGCAGTGGTTGTAACTCTACTTTGGTCCTAGTATGTAATCCCAAGGGGAGGTGTCTCCATTGGTGAAGAAAGGGAATTTGCAACTGCAATTAAGGTGGGCCATGGGATTTGGGGAGAGGGCAATAAATACTTTCTTTTTTTCCCTCCAACACATAATGAGATTTGGCAGCTTATGGGGTTTTGGCAACTTATGGATTCCTATGAGATAGAATTCATAACTCATGATCTTAGAATATGAATTCTTGTATAGTTCTTTTTCTTGTACAGTTTGGTGATGCCCTCATTTTTTTGTTCAATGTCCATTATGTAGATCATTAATCATTTTCTTGTAATTTTAATTAATATAAATGATTCTGATCTTACTGTTCAAAAAACAAAAAACATTTTGTATGGATGCCCTTTATGGTTATTGATAACAGCAATAAACCCATTAAATTGCAAAATGTGAAATCTCTCCATGGGGGTTTGGTTGAGAATCCCCCATGTTGGTTTTGTTGCTAGTTCAATTGCTTAGGGTTTCAAGGAAGTTGGATAAAAAAAGGAACAAAGAAGAGGGCAGAACAAACGCTACTAATGAATGAAGTTCATGCCCCTTATGGAGAAAATAATGGCATTGCCCTTCTGGTCCTAGCTAGCTGGAGTCTTTGGAGGGGACCGAGGGGTGCACTGGATACAGACCTAACCAATGAAGTAAGAAATTGATCAATTCTACCAAATTGTACATGCCCCTTATGGAGAATATAAGCTGCTGTCAGGAAAAAAGACCTCACCTTTGAGATACCAACCAGAGTCTCATGGAAAAGACTTGTATGAGGAGTTGTTCCCAGACTTATTGGTATTGAGATCCTTAACTCAACTCAACTAAACCTTGTCCCAGCTATATGAGGTTGGGTATATGAATCATGTTCTGCCATTCCGTTCTGTTCAGTATGTTAAATTTTGGGCCCTAAAATCGGCTCATACTACTTCAACCCTTGTCCTTTTTGGTCTGCTCTTAGCTCTTCTAGAATCTAGATCCTTCAACTTGTAAGTTGTAATAGATCATTTCTTCTCATTATTGCTGTAAATGGTATTCTTTGCACAAAACATCTTAGTCTACTTTCCCTCTTTTTATCACCTATCGGAGCTACTTATAGGTTCCTTCAGAAATTTGTTTCTGATCCCATCATTTCTAGTTTCTCACTCATTGGATACACTAATTGCATTAATCTAACAAGTGACCTTTGATCTTGAATTGATAGATCTGATTCTCATGCAGTCATGCTAACAAGTGACCTTCTCACTCATTTGGATTACGTGGAAACAATTGTCTACGTCATTTTGACTTTTGCTACCTTGTGATATTTGCTAATTTCTTCCACATTATGCTTTTATTTCTCCTATTACTTGATACAGCTCTTCAACCTGCCTTCACTTTTCATTTTCCAAGCTAGTCCTTGCCTTCGTGCATTAAAACATAACCTATTTAAGTTCTTCTGCACACACTATAAGTTTAGACTCTATATAAGGTGGAATCTTGATCATATCATCAGAATTGGCTTCAGTTGTGGCATGCATGTTCTCTGATTAATAGCCAAAATATTGATTGATTGTGCCAAAAAAGGGTGAAGGTGTAATTAACACAATACTTGAAGAGTACATACAGAGGGTACACAAGTTTATGTGGTAATCTGATGTTTGCAAGTTTTGGGTTTCTTCTTACCATGTTTCCTCTTATAAATTCTATCATGCATTACCATAAATGATAGGATCATCTCTTTCATTCATTGGATGACTTTTCATTTTGGGAAATTCTTTAAATGGTATGTATTGGGCTATTTGGCAGATGGATTTGATTTATAAAAATGTAAACTACTTTATGGTATGCAAGCGGATGTTAAATGAATTTTCAATGCATTTGCTGCTCAGTTAGTTTCAGACTTTCAGTGCACTTTTCACAAATGAAGTTTGGCATGTGTTAATAGAGTGCCAAATTTAAGCATAATTGTTATTGCCTTGTAAAGTACATATTTCCTAACAAAGTTCTTTGTTTGCAAAAACACGATTTTAGGGCAAGTCATCACTGGTAGTTGGGATAAAACACTGAAGTGTTGGGACCCAAGAGGTGCAAGTGGGCAAGAGCGTACACTTGTTGGAACATATCCACAACCTGAGCGTGTTTATTCCCTTTCTCTTGTTGGTAATCGTTTAGTGGTAGCAACTGCAGGAAGACATGTAAATGTCTATGATCTGCGGAATATGTCTCAACCAGAGCAAAAGAGGGAGTCATCATTGAAATATCAAACCAGATGTGTACGTTGTTATCCCAATGGAACAGGTAACTATCTGAGCATCTAAAGTTTTTATAATATTTTATATTATCTACAGTACTAGCCATAGTTTTCAAAATGCCAAGGTGAGGATGGGCAACAAGGGGGTTCTTGTGGCCTGGTTGCCTAGGTGATGCCTAAGCCATGTATTTTTAAATAAAATGAAAAACATGAATCCTAGGTTAATTTCTTAGCATGGTTCAAAGTATTGATACAATATGCCCGATACGGGGCGTATCGTATCGTATCTTTTGAAAAAGATACGGTCCGAAATGCCCCCCAATTTTTTTTAATAATAAAAAACATGCTAAAAGCTTCCCAAAAAACCAAAATGTGAAAAAAAACTAAAAAAAAAATAAAGTTTCGGCCGTTTCTAATTACCGATATGATATGACCGAAACTCATATCGTATCGATACTTTGAACCTTGTTTCTTAGGTTCCATAGAAACCAGCAACCATCTTTCACTAGTAATAATTTTTAATCTTCATAAAAAAGTATAAACTTCATATTCAACATAGAAAATCAACATATTCATAAGGAAAAGAAGAATGAGAAGAATGTTCAGAAAATGTAAGGGTTGAGCCTTGTTTTTTTTCCTAGAAAAAAAAAAGAATGTGTTGATTGGACAAAATTGTAAGTTCTTCCTTTCTTATTGGTTCAGGTTTTAAGCCTTCAAGGGCTATCTTTGTGGGTTGAACTCAGCATACACCAACATGTGTGTTGATTGAACCATACAAAATAAGAAAAGAATACAAAAAGAAACTAGTATATAAATCCACAAAATGAATTATTTAGTATAACAATGTCTATTTTATTTCTATAATCTCAAAAAAGAAACAACATAAAAAAACAGCTATGTACAAAACAAAAAATTTCATATTCCATGTACAAAACAGCTAGGTGCTCAAGTGAGATGACCCTTCATGGGCACTTTGTCAGCTTTGTTTCACCTTGACAATTATGGTATTTGCTCTTTCATACTTTTATTAGTTATGATATGATCAAGTCCTTGTCATATGTAACCCTAGCCCCTTGATTTTGTTGTCATGTTATTTCTTGTCTCTTGATCCGGTTCATTTTTATTTTCCATACCTTAAAGATTTATAAACAGCTCAATTACTTCTTTCATGCTGTTCTTTATCTCCAATTTTACAGTTTTTCAGAATCTCACACTTTATGATAGGTTTTATAATTTTCTCCTGATTATCTTGCTATTTAGCCCTTTCTGATAATAATTTACTGGTCATTGCTGAAGTTTACCTTTTGATTAGAATCTGATGATTTAATTAATGGGTTTGGATCAAGTTGACTAGGACACAACTCTGTAACTTGTTATTTTTTCTCTCTTTTCTTCTAATTTTTCCCAAGGGGATTTTAGTTTAAAGCCTTTTCCAAGATTAAAGATGTAGGTGGGCAATGTAAAACCTATTTAAAGATCTTTCAAATTTTTTGGGTTAATATATAACTTTTTATGTCCATTAGGGAAAAATTGTATGGGATGAAAGTTTGTTTTGTAAGTGAATTATCAAAAAAAAAAAAAGAAAGTTTTGTTTTGTAAGTGAGGTTTGCAGTGTGGTTGTGCTTATGTTTACCGTTTTTTTATTTTCCATTTGCAAAATTAAATCAATTTCTCAAATTTATCTGATCCGTTTTTATGTTTTTCTTTTGGATACTTCTAAGTTCATCTTTTATTTGATAGAAATATCTATATATCTGTTGAAATGAATATAGAAATAGACAAAGGAGATAATTTTCATAATTCAGCTCTTAGAATTTACAGAATTAATGTCAACGGTGGGGGGATTCAACCATTCATCACTGGAATAGGCTTATTACAAACTTGTCCAGTTTGCAAGAGATTTGCTTGAGATATTAGGATGTCAGATTTTGATACCTTAGTTTGATCTAATCCAACATGAACCTAATGCCAGGGGGGGAGGTCTGACACAGTTAAAAGAAGGCAGGCTTGGCAGTTTTCATCATTTTATGCATTTCAGCCATATCTTGCACTTATTGTTTCTTCTTATTAACTTGGGCTGCTGTATGCAGGCTTTGCTCTTAGTTCTGTGGAAGGTCGGGTTGCAATGGAATTTTTTGATCTGTCTGAGGCTGGTCAAGCTAAGAAGTATGTAATTATCCTTGAGGAATTGTTTGATGCAGGATCATAAACTGTGCCGAAACATTGAACTACATGGATGTTGTGTTTGCATTTTCTATATGCGTGGGGCTTTACCTGACTTTTTGTCTTTTCACTTTTTGCACCTTGTGGGATTCTGCTCCCAAACACTGCTTTTCTTTTTTTTTCAACTAATGCTACACCCTGAGGATGTTTGAGGTCATTTTAATTGTTTTAGATATCACCATTACATTGACGGATTTTGAAAGTATTTCCAAGCTTAAACACTGCTATCATGCTTCTATGAGGACACTTTTTCACCTTAAAGTTCCGACAGGACGTATTTTTTATTGGCTGATTGGAGTAAGCTCCTTTGCAGGTATGCTTTCAAGTGCCATCGAAAATCAGAGGCTGGAAGAGATACGGTATATCCTGTTAATGCAATTGCGTTTCACCCTGTGTAAGTTTTCTTTTCCTTTTCTTATAAGAGAACCGTGGTACCCACTGTATGTGTGTGTGTGTGTGTGTTTATATGTATATATATATATAGAAAAAATTGGATTAAGATGGGTTAGGAAGAAATTTGGGTTGTAAGTTTTAAGGGATTACAAATTTGTAAGCCACATAGCTACATATAGAATTTGTAAACCCATTTTCTTGTTATTGTTGGAGGGGATGATACCCTATTGTCAATTGAATTTCTCATTGTTTGGTTAGAATTCAATCCCCACAATGGGGATGCTTTCAAATGTACTATTTCCTCAGAGTGAGCTACTTGGTTCAAGACTCGTATTCTTGTCTGTGTTCCTAAATATGGCACAGGTATGGCACATTTGCCACGGGAGGTTGTGATGGATATGTCAATGTGTGGGATGGCAACAACAAGAAGAGACTATATCAGGTAATATCCATAGACAAGTTCTGAAAGTTGACCTTTTCTCTTTACTTGGAAACATGTAGCTGGCATGATTTACCACATTATCTTTATTTTTGGTTTCCCAGTACACAAAATACCCAACTAGCATTGCAGCATTATCCTTCAGCAGAGATGGCCGATTGCTAGCTGTTGCCTCCAGTTATACATTTGAAGAGGGAGACAAGCCGTACGATACTGACTTCAAAACTCTCTCTCTCTCTCTCTCTCACACACACACACAAAAGAGGGTATTCATTAAATTTGCGTTTATTTGCAGGCATGAGCCGGATGCCATCTATGTCCGCAGTGTAAATGAAGTGGAGGTTAAACCAAAGCCAAAAGTGTATCCTGCACCCCCTCCATAAATCTGTAGAGAGAAAACATGATACCTATTTAATATTATTTTTTTCGGGTGTTTTTTTTTTTTTTTTGGATGATGACTTTAAAAATTGATGCAAGCCTTTAATCCTCGATAGTTAAGCCTGCCGAACTCAAGCGGGATAACCAGTTTTCATTCCAAGTTTTTACACTTTTCCATTTTGGCCTTGTCAACCTGGATTCTATCATGTAAGATGAAATGAAACGTCTAATATGCTTTAATCTTGATAGGCTGCTTGATTTACTTTATGCGCCTCAACAGCCTTGTTCCTTGTCAGAGGGGGACTTCCCTGAACCCGTTTCCTGGTTGTGATTTCTCAACTCAAATAGCTTGAATATGGAGCATCATTGGAGCGTAAAGGTTCTAAATATCGATACAGTGGGCCTGTATCGGTTTTTTTTTTTGTTTTATTTATTTATTTTTAAAATTGGTTGAGGGGTTGGTTTAAGTCCTGATTACCCTCTGAATCATGGCCTGACCCGATACACCCCTAATATCGGGAAGGTCTTGATATGTAATGATATTTTAAACCTTTTGTATTGATCGTTTGCTGATTTCAACCGCCTAAAGAAGAAATACATGCCACAGCCAAATAAAAACATTAGACAATAAAAACAGAGTTATCTCGTTGTAATTCGGATTTTATCCTTACAAAATCCATCCTCACACTGACTTAACAGCCTTGCAGCTATGCATTGGAAAGATAGGATCTGCTCCTCACACAACGTGCCTCACTCCGACCTCAGCATGTTTTAGTGGTACATCTGGATCATCTCCTTGTAAATTTAAAAATTTACAAGTACAAGATGTTTCAAGTGTACAGTTAAAACTGCTGTGAGATTGGTGAGGCGCAGATCCGAACTCTTCATTGGGAACATCAATGCACTTATATAGTTTTATTCACCGGGAGATATTATATGCCAAATACAATATTGCATTGGGAACAAAATCCTAATTCCGTTGCTGTAAGCTTGTTCAGATTGCAAGTTCTCTTATTTCCGGTAGAAAACGAAAGGAGATCGCATCTGGTGGTCCTTGGACTAGCAAGTCGATGGCCCTAGTATTTAGTGGGAACTCCTAATTCCTGAACAAAAGCAAACCATTTCGTGGATTATACAACAATCTGACAATTCTACTGGAATTGATTGCTGAACTAAAAAGGTAAGGTAGCAGCCTAATAGTATTTAGCTTCACTTCTAAGACGTTTGACACTTTGATTCTTCGACATGGTTACATAAGGGGGCGTTTTACTCAGTGAATGTTTTTGTTTTTGGAATAGCAATACCAGAAAAAAAAACATTTTTTATTTTCAAAGATAAAAACAAGTTAGTTTTGTTTAAAAAATGTATTTTTAAAATCAATAAAATATTGATTTTAAAAATAAAAACAATTTTTAATATAGAAATTATATGATTTATGGAACATGGTATTAAAAAATAGATGAAATCATGCTTTTAAATTGGATTCAAGAACAAATTTTTGGGTTTCAGTTTTAAAAACAAAACGCACACAAATATGTTTTTTTTTTTTTAATGTATTTTTGTTTTGAGGAAACAATCTGTTTTCAGACAATTGTTTTGATTTGTTTTTAGAACTGAAAACAAGAATTCTTGTTTGAGGAAACCAATAAATTTTGAACTCAATCAAATAAAAAAACCCTATGAGTAAAGAAATTTCTGCCTAGTATAAATAAAACCCTTTGCGTGACCTCAACAAGATTACCCTATGAATAAAGAGATTCCTGCCAATAAGAACTCTACCCACAAAACACTACCTCCTGCATCGGGAACATCTCCCTGTACATAATAACATGTAAGAGGATGAGATGTTTCCATATGTAACATGAATAGAACTTGAATAAAGAAAGCATGTTTATATCGAAGTGACTTCTGAGGTGAGTCATTTGAAACTTTCGCCTGGAATTAGAAAACATGAGAAGCATGTTTTAATTAAAGTTCATCTGCATTTTCATCAGTTATCCTTGAACTTGAATTCATTGGTTGAATTGGAATACGCAATATGGGGGACCGTTTTATGTAGTTGGGTTAGGAAGATTGGATGGCCTGAGGTCAACCGGAGGAAGCTGCCTCTGCTATAATGGTGCAGTGAATGCCTGCCATCGTTGGAGTTGGTCACATGCATAAAATCTTCGGAGAAGTACGGATAGCCTATTGCAGATTTCTGAATCCCATTGAAAAATTATAAGCATTCAAAATGTCTAATATTCTCATTCTATACATCAATGCCCTCCCCTAAATTGGCATTAATTCCGAACTGGCATACACTCCAAATGTACTTTGGTTCTGACCCTAGGTTGAACCGTTATTCTCCCTAAAATTTTTGTGCCTTTCTAACTACGACCCAAAATTCCAAATTGGCATCGATGGGTACTGGTGAGGGCAAAATTGGGTTTTAGAAAAATTAAAAGTATTACATGACGTCATACGTTGCAAAATCTGATGGACAATTAAATGACTAATATATGTAGAGTGTGGGATCACCTGCCAACAAAACGTGTTGTAACCCTCTACAATAAGATCTTACACCGCACATCTCAAATCTCATACATGATGGGTCCCAATATCATGATGAAATCTGCCGTGATTGGAACAGCAGAAAATCTCAGGTATTACTTCATCGGGCAAATATTTATCAGATGGTTTAGGAATATTTTAAGTAATTAACCCAATATTTAAACATCTAGTAATCAGCATTATCAGGTAAAAATGCTAATACAAGTTAATCAATTACTATAGAGTTTCTCCTTAAACCTACCCCACAAAAAATTAGGTATATAACTATATATATCCACATGTAAAACTTTCTGCCTGACAACACTGTAAACATTTTTCTCTAAATGACCAACCCTCAATATCGTGCATGTAGCTTAATTTGCAAATGATATCAATGTTGTACAAGTAGTGGTGAGACCGAATGGTGGGCAGTTGTAGAGCTCTGGAGTTTGCTCGAGACAATAAAACTGCAGTTCTGATGCTGAAGTTGTTTTCATGAAGATCAATCAACCTCAATTAGAGTTTCAATGGTTTGAAAGGAGATCCTAAAAGAATATGTTCTGATTTCACTTTCTTTTTTTTTTTGATATATGCCGTATAGTCCATGTAAATAGGAAAGACAATACTATGGCACATTAACTAGCCTTTTCTGCTTGTAAAAAAGAAGAAAAGACATATAATGTTGATATCCCTGGGAAGAGAATACCTGTGTACAGGTTAAGTTTATTAATGAAAGAACATATCTTAGCTTGTCTGAGAATTGAGATCCACTATCTAAGCATTATGACTACGAAGCCTTGAGCCAATTTTCATTTGAATTAGGAGATTAACCAGTTCAAATTTTATTTTGTGATTTGAATCAGGAAAGAAACAATTGATGGTATTTTTTGTTTGAGATGAAATTTATTTTTTAACCCCTCTTTCCTTGGAATCGGAATGAAAGCCCTCGATCTTATCAGACCCAGAGGATTCTGCAGATAAGAATTCGTGAGGCTGAGGCTGAGGCCGGTTTAAACCAAGGTTCAAAGTATTGATACAGGGTGATACACCACGTTAGGTGCATCGGCCTATATTAGCCCTTTTTTTTAAGTTTTATTTATTTGTTTTTCAATACCAGTTTAGAGGGGTCGGTTTAAGTGCCATCTACCCTAGATCTGAACCAGGCCCTGACCCGATACAACCACTATAAGGGCATATCGGGAAGGAGCGGATACGATATATATCGATCGGTACATGTTGATACATAACGATTTTTTGAACCTTGATTTACACTATAGTTGTAGCCTTGTTGGTCACTTTCAATGAGCGGAGAACCTACTCAATCTGACCTGGGTACTATGTGAAGGTTGGGATTAATTTGGAAAGAGTATAAATACATACAAAATACAAGATTTTGTATATATTATTTGTACTCTTTCCAAATTGAGCCTTGTGAAAACACCGATTAAAACTGAGGATAGAAATGTAGAAAGTTGGGCCACCGACTTTGCAAATATGTACAGCGTAAATACATACAAAATAATATAAAATATAAGGTTTTGCACTCTACCTATTTGCATTTGTACTCCTTCCAAACTCAGCCTTAATAATATAAAGTTAGGTTCAGTTTGTACAGTACAAATGCATACAGAATAATACATATTTGTATTTGTATTCCTTCCAAATTAAGCCTTACAAATACATAAAATAATACAAAATACAAGGTTTTGCACTCTACAAACTCGTATTTGTACTCCTTCCAAACTGAGCTTTAGGTTCCATTTGGGAAGAGTGCAAATACAAATATGTTCAGTGCAAAACATTAAATTTGGTATTTTTAAACCTTCTATTTGTATTATACATATTTGCATTTGCTCTTTCCAAAGAGTAAAAGTACGTACAAAATACAAGGTTTTGCATTCTACATATTTATATTTATACTCCTTCCAAACTGAGCTTTAGGAAAATCTAGAGTAGGGGTGAGCATAAAAAGCCGAAAAACTAAATCGACCAAAACTGAACTGAAAAATCAGTTAATCGAACTGGTCGGTTCTAGTGTTTTAAAAAACCGAAGGTACTGCTTCAGTTTGGGTTAACCAATATAGAAAACCGATGGTTAACTGAACTGACCGGTATACATATATTTCTTTATGTTTTGTATATATTTATGTATATTATATATATACATTATATTATAAATTAATAAATATATATATATTTATTTATTTATAATATACGTATATTATTTATTATATAAAATCAAGGTTCAAAGTACTGGAAATGTTAAGTGTATTGGAAAGGCAATTTTAAGAGATGTATCGAGATACGCCTTGGATACACATGCGTATTGGAGAAAAATTAAGATACACATAGATACACTTGGAAACACTATAAATACTTTAATAAATCATAAAAATACATCAATAACACTAAATATAAGACCTCAATGAGGTGTATATACATAAAACTAATATATTTTAATGGTTTTATGAAAAATATATAGTAGTTAATTATAATTTCATTAAAAATCCTATGCTTAACTACAACTTATGAACTATAATTCTTAAGTTTTAATGTTTTATGGGATGGGAAAATCCCGACTCTCCTATCCAACCATAAACATAAATTGGCACAACTTCTAAGTGAAAATATAATTAATAATTATTTATTATTTGTTTCTAAAAATTATCAAAAATAAATAAACATTATATGATTATTCATAAAATAGTTATTAAAGAAGAAATTTCAATTGCTTTGTGAATATGATAGATCATCCATAGAATTATAATATATTCAATCATTGTGGTCAAATGATAAAATATAATTATTTATTTATTTCTAAAATATAAAAATAAAAAGCAATTATTAAAGAAGAAATTTCAATTGGTTAGTAGATATGATAGATCATCCATAGAATTATAATATATTCAATTGTTGTGATCAAATGATAAAATGTAATTAATTATTGTTTATTTTTTTAATTCTAAAAATATAAAATATCAAAATAAAGAATAAATTTCAATTCCTCTATGGATATGATAAATAAATCCATAGATCTAAAACATATTTAGTCTTTATGGGCAGAGAAAAAATTATATTTTTACATTTTTTGTTAATTTATAATTTTCTCAAATATCTTCATGAAATTTTCATAAATCTATTGATAACAAAAAAATTGTGATCTTGAATGTAAGAAATGCAGATCAACATAAATTTAAACATTCAAGAAAAAAAGTAAATCACAAGATATTATAAAAAATTGAAAAAATTACCTAGTTTTGCCATATTTTTTCAAAATTTGAAAACTCTTCAAAAAATTAATGATTCACACTTGTTTCTTGCAAACTTTTGCAAATCTAGCACTTTAGGAATGAGGTTTGGAGTTTTAGAGTAATTTGGGGGTGAAAGAAGGCTTATTTCCAAGAAAAGAAACTTGCTTTCCCCCTTTGTTTTTTTCCCACTTTTTGACTATCTTTTTCGTCAATACTCTACCGATACACATGAAAAAAAGACGAGACGCCCGATTTCCATGTATATCCTATATATGCTTTTCAAAGATATGATACAATATGCCCCGTATCGGACATATAGTATCGAAATTTTAAACCTTATTTAACATATAATATTATATATATATATATATTATAAAAATTTAAAAAGTGAAAAACCGACAAACGAAAGCTATCAAGCGATTGGCTTAAGTTCGATTTCGATTACTAATTTTTCAAAAACCGATAACATCGGTTCGATTGAGCACCCCTAATCTAGAGTGATAACAAGGTAGTTGGTAGAGTTGGACATTCATCATATTAACATAGACGAGGGGAAACTGATGGAGTGCCACATCCCCCTCACTTGTCCTCACTGGTCCGTCCCTATTGTCTCTTTATGAGATTATCTATCTTCTTCTCCGCAGAATCAACATCATCCCTCAGAATTATTTTCCTTCTTCTTATCCATCTATCTTCCTCTTCTCTGTGGTGTGGCGTCAGAGTAAAGTTTGGAGGGGATGCACCTTCCATGAGTCCATCCAAATCCATTTTCTCATTTCAAACGACGAAACTGGTGACGAGAAGTTTGTCTGGTTTCTTCATTGTATATTATGTAAGCGGTGACTTCGCCGAGCTACTTTACTTTCCTTGTTGCTACTTTTCACTTATCCGACTAGATTGCATGTATGCCTGTAATAGTTGTTGGACGACGGTTCACGGATGTTGTTGTTGAATTGAATTAACTACTTTGGTATTATTATTATTTTTTGTGGTAGGCTTATAACAAACAACCGCCATAATATGGATTACTTATAAACAACCCTTCTCCTTTTATTATTTATATTTATTTACAAAAACCTTGATTACAATCAAAATCCTGGTCCTTGTCGGTGCCCATGGACCCAGCCCAGTAGCCCAGTAGTAGTAGAGTGAGTGATACGTGATAACAATGGGATAGTAGCTGGCGGCTCAAAGTCAAAAGGACAGCAAAACCTGATTTGGCAAAGGGAGCTACAGCTACTTTCTAATCAAGATCCGTTATTCAGTTTGGTACGGGTACGATTTACGAGAGGAAGGAAAAGGAAAAGACTCTAGTGCATCCATGTCATAAAAAGCTTCCCTGAGACACATAACACGTGGCACATCCATTTGGACGATTGAGTTATTGACCCACGCACGCAAATCAAAGTCGACGTTATCAGCCATCTATTTGGATTTTACCATTTTAGAGTTGGACTGGAAAAATTCTTGCGGGGCGGCGGTGTGGCTACTGGATGCCATTGGACCAGGAATCAGGATCCTTCCGCTGCTGCGAAGGAACCTTAAAATAAATAAAACTCCTTAATTCATACTTTTAATTGGAATACAACATACGCGACTTTTTCTTATTTGTTAAAGATTACTTTTTTAAAAATTTTAATTTTGGAAAGGTGAGACTTGAAAGCAAGAGTGGCACCGTCGCTACATATGAATTTGCTTGTGGGGGGCATCAGCCATGCATCTCCTCCATTTGGGTGAATGAATGGTCTTAGCTTAGCTGATGAGCAAGTAATCTACCAACTGCAAATTTATATGAATCGTCTTCGTTCAAACTTTTACTTGACTAATAAAAATAAAAAGAATGTCATCAGTCATCACGCACGCAAACGGAGTTAAGCTTCTTTGTTGGATGGGCCTTAGCTGATGGACGGTGACGAGTCACGTCAGCCAAAGACCCACCAAAAATAAATTCGCAGTACCAAGTAAGCACTTACCCACACATCATGCATCATGCTACTCCAGAGAGTCTCACTATTCTTAATTATTATCACTAACTAATGGACCCAAAATGCCTTTTTTTTTTTTACTATTCTTAAATGATAGGGTCTGTTCTGTAATTTGAAATCTAAATCATTCTGGACTTTGGAGGACCGACTATGGAAGTTTAATTACATTTATGATTAAGATCAATCCAGACTTTATAGAATCGGATTACCCAAGGAAAAAAAAGGAAGATAAATTCAGAGAATACTGAGGAGTGATTGCTTATATCAATTGTTTAATAATTATATATTAATAATTATGCCACGTAAGAAATACCAACAAGGAGAGAGAGAGAGAGAGTTGATTTATGGGCTCCGGTCTGTCTATATTGTCTATGTCGCGGCTTCTAGCCAAGTTATCTCTTCCATATCCCAAGAAAGAGGGAAGAGGGGAACTACAGCAGCAGATTGTTAAGAAACAGCATCATCCAGTTGGGCGGTGGTCACAGGCATACCATTTCATGATACGGCCATAGATAAATCACCTTTTAAAAGGGATGAAGATAAAAAAGAAAGGGAGTGGTGATTCAGTGGGCGCGCTCTCATTTAATATTGCCTACGTGTTTATTGATCATTGGAGTAAAAAAATTAACGGACAAATACGGATATATACGATGCAGAATTCTGAATTCCAACCCCCTTACTATTAGCCCTCTTCCCCTATAAATCAAATCCTCTCCGTGAATTTAGCATCAATTCACGGTCAGATACATTTCCCTGTACTTTGGAACTATAAAATTCTGATCTGGGCTGATTGGTCATTCTACCATAATAATTACGATTTTTTTTTAATTGCATGATATTTTAGAGCCAATGAATGATGAAAACAGAGGGTAGCCGTTCATGATTGATTCAATAAGAGCGTAGAGACACGCAACAACTTTAATCAGACTGTTTGGTAGCGTAGGAGGTCCTAATTCCTAAATAGGGTCCACGGCTATTAATGTTTTGGGTATGGACGTAGGGACATTTGGGGTTGGGGCCGGGGGTACCCACGGACTGACTGATGAGTGTGTGAATCCAATTCCAATATTTGCGATACTTTTGTGGACGTGGCAAACCAGAATCGTCGTCTAGTTTCGGGGGGACCAACAAAGGAACTAAACCAACAATTTTTTTCTATTTCCTCTCTTGGGTGAGGAGGTTTTGTGTCGGTTGCAGCTTGGTAAAAGAGAAGATTCTTTACGTTTTAGGTTGGTCTTGGTCTTGTTAATGTATGTAACTATAGACCAATGAATTAGAATTAAGAAAAACAAACTAAACAGTAGGCCAGTAGCTAGGTGTACTAACCAGGAGGTTTCGGACGAAGACCGGGTTGGATTTGTGGAGGGCGAAGCCAAGCCAAGCCAAGCCAAGCCCAGCCCACAAAACAGCCCCTAACGTCAAAAGCTACATCTGTTTTCTCTGCGATAATTTTACACACGAGGCTGGCTCCTTTTATTTATTTAATAGAAAAAAGAAGGTGCTAAGTAAGAGACTGTGAGTACGCACACATAGTGAGTGTCGTGTGGATGGCGGCGTGACTTGTGACTCGTGAGTGGTATTATGATAAATGATAAGAGCGTGTTTGTTTTGACTTTGGAAACTCACTCTTTAGGGAGTTGGGGGGAAGTTGGAAGTAGTCTTCAGTCCACTCTAACTCCCCTTCCACCACTCCACTTCCATTCTATTTCCATGTCTAGCCTTTCGAGTTGACCTGACCGACTTCACTCACTCCCAACAACTCTATTAAACGTGCACTACACCCCCCCTCTCTCCTCTTCCCTTTGCTTATTTAACCAGCGCACTCCCTATTCTTCTCACCACTCTACACGCAACTTCCATTTCCACTCCATAAAAGGAACCCCCTCAATTCCAACCTCCTCAGTCCTCACTCTTCAATCAATTCCTCTTTTTCCTCCTCCTCCTCAGCTAAACAGCATCTCTCCCTCTGCTCTTTGCCGTTTTCTGCGCTGCCTGCTCTCTGTATCTCCTACATCAGATTACAGAATTATCAGATGGCTCTAGAGGCTCTGAATTCTCCTAGGACGGCCGCTCCTTCGCTCCATTATGACGACATGGATCTCCACTGCCTTGAGCCATGGGCCAAGCGGAAGCGCTCCAAGCGTCCTCGTCTCGAAAATCCACCCACGGAGGAAGAGTACCTCGCCCTCTGCCTCATCATGCTCGCTCGTGGCGGTGCTACCTCTGGTGATGCACACCACAACCACTCCCCATCCCCTCCTCCCCCACCCCCTGCCTTGAAACTCAATTATAGGTGTACCGTCTGCAACAAGGCTTTTTCTTCCTACCAAGCCCTTGGGGGACACAAGGCCAGCCACCGCAAGCTCTCTGGCAACGACGACCAGTCAACCTCGTCCACCACCACCACCACCACCTCTACAGTCAATCACACCGTCAATCCAGGTGGAAAGATCCACGAGTGTTCTATTTGCCACAAGTCTTTTCCCACTGGACAAGCCTTGGGTGGACACAAGCGCTGTCACTACGATGGTGGAAACACCAACATCACCGCTACGTTATCGTCGGATGGTGCTGCTTCGAGCCACAGTCTCCGCGACTTCGACTTAAACATGCCGGCTTTACCTGAATCCTTACCGGGTTTCGGCGTGGCTGCTGGAGGGAAATCCGAGATTCATGTGGACGAAGAAGTAGACAGTCCTCTGCCGATGAAGAAGCCACGTCTCTTGATTCCAGCCGAAGACACTTCTTATTCACGGGATTAGTAGAGATGGATTATCCGGATGAGCGGAGCAACTTGTGTTAATGGCTTCTATTGTTTTTTTGTTTGAATTAATATTTTTGATAGTTTAAAATATTATTGTTTCTGTACAGAGAATCTTTCATTCTTTGTAAACTACATGGTTTGAACTCTGAATGGTTAATATTGGTTTTTTTGAATTTTTAAAATTACGTTTATGTAATTAGCTTTTCTTCCATCTGAGAGAGTGAGGAAGAGGAATGCACCGACTCACTTGGTCCGGTCTCAATTACAATTTCGAGTTAGGCGTCTATCCTAACTGTACTTTGAACCTAAAAACTTTGATCAGTTAATCCGTTATGTTCCTTTTTTTTTTAAATCTTTAATTTGTATATAATTTTGTTCGTAAGGAATGTGAATGTCCTATCATCTTAATTGGTGTTACATCCGGCCGCGTGAGGAAAGGCAGAGCGGCTAAAAGTCTGGTGAGTGATGGATGGGCCTCCCACTCTCCCAGACCCGTCCAGGGCAGTGGCCCCTTGCACATGTTTAGTGAGTGACAGATCTAACTGTATGTGCCCAATGCTCATTTTAGCGTCTATCTATCTTTAATGGTGGTAGATTATTAGCAAAAAAAAAAAAATAATAATAAATAAATAAGTAAAAAAATGGTGGTAGATGTGGCCAACAGATGTTTGATTATTCAATATTCATTGCATTGGAGTGGATAAGAACGAGCAAGGTTTTCTATCAACGGGCTGTGGAACAACGATAAGGTGCTACGCCAGTATTTAAATGTGGGATCTATAAATTTATTATTAGCGTAGAACCTCATTATTGATTCTACAGCTGGTTTAATAGTTAAAGCATTTAGTTAATCGTAGTAGAATAAAAACCAAGTAATTGGTATATTGGAATTCTGCGTATTTGCTTTTCAAAGGCTCTTTCTCCTTTTATGAAAAAAAATTGAAATGTCGTATTGGGTTTTCATTTGTTCTGTAGCTGGTTGGTCCATGCATGTAATGTTTATCTAATTATCTATATCAACGTTTTGATTAAAATATTAAAAATTAAGTTCATTAAAACAAATGTGAAGTGACTGTTTCTTGCAGAAAATTGTCTGAACTACTCTTGATTAAAGATAAATAGATAATTAAAATTGTAAAACATGACTTGCACTGTACAAATTGGAATGAATGAAATAGGAAGAGAGGAATAAAAATTAAAAAGCAAGTGTCGTTGACGTGTGGGAGACGAATTTGAAGTTTTGTTAATTTCTCTTTCTTTGTTGGGGGAACCTAAACGGGGCCAAGTATATATATGTAAGCTGTCCAGTAATATTAACAGGGTGGGTGGGTATTATGGTCATACAAAGGAAAGTATTGAGAAAGCACCGATGCAAGCGCAACTGCGCAAGGAATACAGGACGATTGAAATAGAAATACAGTGGGTGAATGGCTGGAAAAGTCCAGAGTCCAGACTGCACACGACTGGGCCGGCCTGGTTAATGGAATAATGGTTAAATATTGGCAATCTCTCTCATTCTAGAGACCTAATATGAAGAAATAATTAAAAACCCACCACACCACTTGGATGGATGGATGAAACCACTTGAAAAGTCATAAGCGGTTTTGAGAACATAATTATTTGCAACGATAGGGTTTAAGTGATTAAGTCGTCATAACAATTAACCAATGCAATCATGATTAGTAAGGGGCATGGATATTTTATGATGGGTGGATCCTACATCCTACGGTCCTACCAATGGCAGTGACTACTAAATTACTAATACTGTAAAGGAGTGGTCTTGCGCTGCAGTCCGGCAGTCCCACACCACCGAGTCCAACTCAGAAATGATTAGATAATTAGGGAGGTCGGCAGTTGGAGGTTTCCAGCGGTTGCTGCTGGTTTCACTTTTGATACAGATAGAGGGGAGGATGTGTACCACATGTATCCTCAAACCAACCATTATGCAGTATACATGCATCCATATTTATCAGTTGGCCGTCACATTATTCATATTGTTATTGTCCTTTACTCATTTTTTGGTTTATGTGGACCATGAGTCACGATAATCACCGTTTTTGTAGCGATGCAATTTTGGGTCTTCTGCTTTTGCAATTACCTCTTACTCCCCATCGCCCTCATACTAACTACTCTGGAGTACCCCATGGGTGATGGGTGAAGAAGGGTCAGCACCCGATAACCCTGGGCCTGACGAATGACCAGGGGAGTTCGGATCTCCTGCCCACAAAAGTTCTGTACATTCTACCCACAGCCACATATAAGGAATATCTCATTCTCTTATGGGGAGATATTATTCTCAATGCACAGAACACAGAACTAATGTTTTATGGGTAGACATGGATAAAGTTGTTGTAGGCAGGAGATCCAATCTGTTGAGGGCCGGAGGAGGGGGATTTCTTGTTTCTTTACTTCCAAGTTCCATCCATGCATGCGCAGCGCATCCCAAAATTTCATTTTCTTTTTGAACTTTAATTATTCTCTTCTTCCACTTGAAATGTAACATACTTTTAAACCAATATATTAACCCAATTTCATAAGTAATTGATTTGGTAGGGCACAACAAATAGATTAATTATTAGATTTTTCTTCAATTAATATATTTGTTTGTTTATTTTTTAAAAGTAACAATCGTTTGGGTTATGATTGATCTGGCCAAGAATGTCATGTGGCAGCTTCAGCGGCCATTTTTTATCTCTAGCCATGTTGGCACCATGTATGATAGATAATTATGGTCAAAGAGTGTATTGCACAGATGAGGAAATTAACTCCATTGAAGAAGATGAGACATTCCAAAGACCTCGGCAGGCAACCTCATCTTAATAACCTCGGAAGCCTCACCCTCTTAGAACACGGACGTGTAATTATAAATAAGTAATTTCCACTCAAGGTAAGTGATTTTTTGGGACTAGGAATACTTTTGCACCATCTCTTCTGCTCGGACCAACCACTCAATTCTCTACTTGACTGACTTGAACGTTAGAGTGCCTACCCGGGGAATAATTCTTCGGGCCTCTAATTTCCCCTCTTGGTTACCTTCATCCTTCTACCTCGACTCTGTTCAGTTGATAAGATAAGACACCTCAAATCAAAAAGCATCAACAACAACATCTAATAGTTGATTCGGTGCAATGAATTATATAACGGGCTTTTAGAAAAAAAAGGTAACAACTTCGAAGATTGAAACTATATATATTGTTGATCCGGACAGTGAAACTTTTGACTCCGAAACCGGTCATGTTTCGTGTCCAGTTATGCCTTAAGCTGCTATTTAAAGAAAAAATTAAACAGGTAAAAAAACTGCTACCTTCGATGGTTGAACCATTTGATTCAGGAGGTGATTAAAATTTAATTTAAAAGAAAATATATAAAAAGACATTTACACCCATTCGATAGTTTTCCCTAATTTGCCGAGTCTTTCTTTCTCAATACTCAAGAGAGAAGACTCTCAAAGTTTCAATTCTGAATGATTTGGACGGACTCAAGGGGCAATCAAGGGATTTGGCAATTGGCGTGGCGAAAGAGACCATCAACGACCAGATGCACAGTAAGCATGTTGGTAAATTGGGGGTATTTTAAGAGAGGTGTCAAAAAATTTTCTAAGGACTCATTCAACGGGCTTACAACATTGTGCCTATTTGATCCAGACTGAGACCATCAACCCTCACTGGCCGTTGGTAAGCAGTTCGGATCAGGTAGGCACAATGTTGTAAGCATGTTAAATAAATACTTAGAAATTATTTTAACACTTGTCCCTTAAAATACCCCCAACCTACCTTTGAAAAAGATTAATACCATCGACTTTTGATAATTGTCAAAATATTTATCAAATGTTCGCTTAACATGTTTACTTTGTTGTGCCTAGTAGATTCGGTCCCACTGGTAACTGCCATTTATAGCAGGGAACAAGGGTTTGGGCTTGCAATCAATGGTGACCAAGTCCCTCTTTCTATTTATTTTTTGCACAAGTAATTGCCATTTGTAGAACTGGTCACCCGTGGTTTGGGCTTGGACTTGGAGAGGCAACCAAATCCCTTTTATTTTTTCTCTTATTCACTTTGTGCCGGCGACCAACTCCCCATAGTAAGGGCTGGGTTTGCAGCAGCAATCAAATCCCTCATTCTCTTAGTAGGTGGTTGGCATCATGTTGGGAACATCGCACCATTTTCTGAGAAAAACGGTGTTAGACATGTGGAATTGTAAGCACTATTTTCAGAAAATGGTGCTTATTTTTTGTTTGGAACTAATGTTGTTACATAAGCAATTTTTTTTTTTTTGTTTTTTTGGAGAAAACAACACTGGCTTTGTTTGGTACTAATGCTGGCAACAACACTTTCAACATTGATCTTATTATCCAACGTCCAAGATGATGCTACATTGATGCCACATCATTGCATCGTTGGCAGCAACACTGTTTTCCCAGAAAACATCAAATATGGCGTTGCTCTAGACTAGGGGTGAGCATTATTTGGTTAAAATCGAAAAGCCAAACTGAAAATTTTGATTTTGATTTGTTCGATTTAGTCTTTTTGATTTTTGATTAAATCGATTTAATTAATTCGATTTTTGGTTTCGATTTTTAGAATTAAAAGTTCAGTTAACCGAATTAACCGAATGTAATATATAATATATAAAAGCGAATGTCAAGATATTTTTATTTTTGAGTGAATTTTTAAAACCTTGCATATAATAACTCTAATTCTCTAAAATCGTATAAAAAGAAATCTATCTATATATAAGAATATAATAAAAAAAGCACATAAGATAGGCTGCCGAATTAAAGTCATTTGACAAGGTTGATGCTCTCCCGTTGGGGCCCACTCGATGTTGGCAGATGAAACCTCTCACTATGTAACAAGGGCGGGATATGACGACTTATGGGGGCCCCACCCGCAGCTTCGGGTCATATAACCCCAAACCCAAGACACGCCCATATGCAAGATTTATATGTAGTGGAAGATATGGGTACACAATAATGAATAAAGCTGGAGTCATAGTCTTAAATCTTAATAAACGCAACGCAACCGACAATTGAAGAAGTAGTTTTCTTTCTTTCAATTACTATATCCTTCTAATTTAATAAAGAAAGTAGGTACTGATAACTTTCGGGTAGCGAGGCAATTTGGTAGATCATAGGGTGTGGGTTGAGCTATCACCCACCCAAAATAACTCAACCCAGTAATCCGCATGCACCAATCCACTAGCAGCAGAGGAAGAGACGTTCATCCACCCACTAAACTTGACCAATTAAAGTGGCTAGAAATCAACCATAGAAAACCAATTAAGTAAAGGAGTGGGTTGAATCAGAAATCAGGACCCCTAGTCACGCCTCCTAA